ATAGATAGATAGATAGATAGATAGATAGATAGATAGATAGATAGATATATGGATATATATATATATATATCCATATATATATATATATATTGGTTCGTACCTCTCAATTCCCAAAGCACAGTATTGTTTTTGAAGGGCAAATAATCTGGCCAGGCTACCAGATGGGAAGTATGTGGGGTCCCAAAGGGGCTTTTTCAAGAGGCAACTGGACTTCCTTTTGTTTTTCCTTGAAGACGTTTTGCTTCTCCATCCAAGAAGCTTCTTCGGTTCTTCAGTCAGATTAAGAAAACACAAGAGGCAGTCCAGTGCCTCTTGAAAAAAACACATTTGGGACAAACGTGGGTGATGGGAGAATCTCCGCAGAATTACATGAAGCTCCCAGAATTTCTCTTCCAGGCCGCACTCTGCCGTCGTGCGCATCCACTTCCCGTCTGCAGCACCAGCTCCCTCGTCGCTTCCCTTGTCGGCAAAGCCAACCGTGGGCTGCATTCTTTGCAAGCTGTTCTAAGCCACCTTGGCAACACGCTTAATCTGACATTCCGAAGTAGCCGGGTCTTCTGGGAGAAGGAGGCTATTATGGGCTATCATTTATGCCTCCACCTGACATCTGTGGACGTATCTGCAGAGGTTAGCCCTCCTTCCTGCCTCAATTAAAAATAAAAATAAAAACAATATGCTTTCTGATTAATCTCTAGGTAGGAGTGGAAAGATACAGCAAGAAAGATCACCCACGCCTTCTGGCTTTACTACAGAAATCTAATCTACCCCAAAGTGGATCGGCCTTATAATAAACATAAGCTTTGTATTTATTATTTCAATTAACAATAGTCACACTGTTAATTCCTTCTCTCTCTCTTTCAAAAAAAACAAAACAAAACCTCCCTTTGGACTATTCCAGGAGAGGCCTCTGTCATCAGTATTATTCCAATGCTTCTCCCACTTGGTTACCTCATTCGAAGTTAATTCTATTGACATCAGTCAAAAACTTTACTTGCAAAGGAAAGGAAAATTAGAACAAAGGAAAGTGTGTGTGTGTGTGTGTGTGTGTGTGTGTGTGTGTGTGTGTGCAGGTCATCCATTTTGATTGTCAGCATCGGTATTTTTCAACAGGGATATATATTCCTATTAGTACCGCAAGTGGCTGGACCAATTCTGTGTGGTGCTGAGAGTAATTTTATTTTACTGGTTTCAGGCAACAGCTTTAAATGCTTCTCTCTCCTACCCCTTCCACAAAAGAGAACAGAGCAGACCTTCAGTTTTTTAAAGTGGTGCAACTTTACTGGTGTGACCGCTGTCTTTCCCCGTACATTGCAGGGTTGCTGTTATTACATTTTAGTAAGTTGTAGGCCTTGGTGTGTGGATTTTGTTTTGGTTTTCCGTTCCTCTATTAAATCATGCTATTTTGTTTGAGAAGAAAAAAAAGTTAATTCTAGCTCTCATCCACCATGCTTAGGCCATAAGTTGCTTGTTCTTTTAGCCTTCAAATACCTGTTTATAAGCTTTCCCCATAAAAGAGGCAATGAATGCATCTTTGCTATGGCAAGTTAACCTTTCGGTGTGCAGGAGATTTGGACTTTAAACTACGTTAATGTTGCTTTTTAATTTAAGGAGTCCTTCTGGCTGACCGTTAGGCAGTCCGCCTGGACTGGAAGAATGAAAACATGCCCTACAGTGTGGTTTAAAAGATGCACCCCCATCAGAACACCTCCCAAAGACGGACACCCCCGCCCCCATAAAATTTCTTCCAAATGAAAAGCCCGCAAATTAATCGGGGCTGCAGTTTAGGTGCCCTTCAAAAGGGGAGTTTATTTCGCTAAGCCAGAAGAGAAATGCTGGGATAATAGAGGGGTAAAGACGATTATCTATCATCTTCGTCCAAGAGGTTTCGAACACATGCCCCTGTGCCTATAGAAACGCACGGCACCGGTTCTCTCACAATGCACCCAGATTCCCAGTTGTTTATGGGTGGGGGGGTAGGGTGGGGGGGCAATAAAGTCCACCTCCGAAGTACTTTTATGACCCTTTGTGTAAATAACGTTTACATAATTTAAACGGTTTGCTCAGCTTTGCTGGCCCAGCCCTGGCAGGTCCCCGGAGCCCTGTACGGATTCAAGCGGAAGCCATAAGGTCCTGTGATACAGGGAGTTAATGGCATGTATCATTTACATCGAGGGCACGGCACATTTGCAAACGGAGCTTACCATTGAGTGATGAAGTGTACGAACGGCTCCGAGAACTCCCCAACCGGAAGGACAGGAGATTCCTACAAGCCCGTTTGGGCCACGGGGTAAGGGGGAAAGAGGGCAGGGAAGAAAAAGAAGGAGAAGAAGCGTTGAGTCCAAATTGTCAACTTGACGGCAAACAAACGGAGACTTTTTTTTAAAAAAAAAAAGAAAGAGAGAAAGACAAAATCAAATCAAAAAGGAAACCCTGCATTTAAAAGTAATGAGCGTTACGCAGTGGGGAAAACACATGTAGAAATCCAACCAAGAGGAAGTCGGAAACGGACAATGATAGCCACGGGGCAGGCAAGAAGGTAGCGAAAGTGTAAATGAGAAATTAATGATTATTTAAGTAACACCCAAATGGTCTTGTAATTAACAAAGAGCTGGGAAATTATTCTTGTGTTGACCTTTGCTTCCTCCATCATAGTTGCTATTTATTTACACTTAGCAATCCCAAATCTTGTTAGATTTAAGCAGAAGAAGCCAGGAGTGTATAAAGAACTAAAAACAAAAACAAAAACAGAGAGCCGAGCTAATTAACCAACCATCCAACAAAAAGACGAGGCCACGGATACATTCAGCAAACGAGAGCAGGGGGGGGGGGAAAGGGGGTCCCCGCGTTATTTCAAAGGGGGAAGGGCTGGTTCTCTGTGAAAGGGAGACGCAGGCGTAGGGGAGGCTCGGCGGTGGCCCCCTCCCAGCCCAGAACGACGGAGACTTTTGCCAGTGTTTATAGTCTAACAGCTCAGGATGTAATGAAATGGCACTGTGGAGGACTTTAACAGCCATCTCATTAGTCCTACAGTTGGAACAAGAGAGCCGCATCCAAGAGGAATCATCTGCAAACGACTTAGCTTCTCATCTATTCTCATTTGCTATTAAAAAATATCTTTCGGCAGCTTTTGCCACCGCCACCTTACCCGGTTCTTTCCCCAAGTGTTCTGCAAAGTATGATGCATGCACCTATTTAAATTAACAAAGGAATGACTTATTTTAATCTCGCCGTGCTTTGCCTCTTTTGGCCGTTTGCGAGAGCCATCTATCATCACATACAACCTTCTAATGCTGCAGGCAAGAAACTCAGAGCGTGTAACATTTGGCGGGAGCCAAACAATTTCTCTCGCACACAACTGTGTCAAATGCATGTGAGGGGTTCATTAGGGAGGGTTGCGAGGGAAATGGCTTGGATGCGATGGGGAGAAAGGGGGGGGTAGGTTTAAAAAGGAGAGGAGGAGGAGGAGGAGGAGGCTCCAAGCTCCTCCGCCAACAACACATGTGTGTGCATGTCACTCTCAATGGCGGCGGCAAGAAGCAACCACCGAGCTGCCGAAGTGATTAGTAAATATACATATAATTGCGACGGCCCAATTATCAGAAAAATGAGAGTGGTAATTACAAGATAGAAAATTAACTAGAACTCTTATTAAGGCTTTGTCTCCAATTCAAACAAACAGAAATTGCAGCAAAACACAATTAAATCAAAAGTAACTGAAGAGTACAAGGCGACAAGATTCGGAGTGTTGCCCTTGACACACGTTTTGTGGGTTGCACAGAGCTCGGCAAATGGAGGGAAGCTAAAAATAAATAAATAAGTAAATAAAATAAACCCTCGCCTTGAGTTGAAGGCCCTGCAAGGAGGCTGTGAGAAAGACTCGCCCTCGGAGGCCGTTGGGTTGGGGCTCCCATTGCATCAGGGACGGGGAAACGCTTGGCCCTTTTATGACTTCAACTCCCAGAATTCCTCGGGCAGCTACGGCGAAAGGCAAACGCTCATAAGCTATGCTGGCTCTGGAATTCTGGGAGTAGAAGTCCACAAGTCTTAAAGTTGACAAGGTTGGAGCCTTCCACAATATTCTTTACAACAGGCCTAACAGGTAGGCCTGCTAACACGGCACATTTGAGGTGTTTTTCAGATGTGATCCCCCTGTGGAATTTGGAAGTGAAGATCTGGGGACAGTCACTGGCCCCACATTTGCCCGCTTAGCACAGACAAGGCCTCCCACCCACCCCCACCCCCCCGTGGAGTCCTTGGTGCTCTTTCAATTGGTTGTTTGCTTGCAGACATTTCGTGACCCAAATAGGTAAAGACATCAGCACCCTCCTCCTCCTCCTCCTCTGGACACTAATGTTACAGGTAGTCCTTGACTTATGACCATCCATGCAGCCAATGTTCAAATTTAGGATGGTGCTGAAAAAAAGTGACTTGTGACAAGTCCTCATACTTATGACCATCATGATCAGCATCCTTGGAGTCATGGGATTTGGGGGCTTGTCAGGATTCCGGCAGTTACCCCAATTAAATCATGAATCTCGAGCCAAACTTCCAAAACTTCAAAAGGATTTATTGGGAGTTAACATGTCCGGCATTGCCTGGGTGTAGCGACTCTGAGACACATGATTCATTGTCACCCTTGACCCTGGTTTTCCCTCCACCCCCTGGGTGTATCGTAATTCATATTCTCCAATGGGACATGTCCATAGCCCAGAATCGCCAATCATGCTCTTCGGTTAGAATTTTGCATGGCAGAAACTCCAGTCATCTAGTTACTATCTTTGAAAACATTTATGGAATACGCTTCCGATTTCCAAGCTGCCATACTGCTCCCCCTCCCTTTCTGTTGGCAACTCTAAAAAGACCATAGAAATATTTTATGAGTTGACACGGTATGCGTTTATGATGGTTGCCACATCCTGGGGTCATGTGATCACCATTTCCCAGTTGGCTTCCAAGGAGCAAATGCAGGGAGTCGGATTCCCTTAAAAACTGTGATTAAAAGTCTGGCAAAATGGACCCTGGGTCCCATGGCTCACTTGACTGCATTGCTTAATGATGGGAGTTCCAGTCTCAGACTATTTGTACCTAGTTGGGTGATGAAACATCTGCAAGCAAGCAACCAAGCTTAGAGAGCACCAAGGAATCCACAATTCAACCCTGAGCTCCAGTACTTTTCTTCTGTTAGGATCTCCTTCTCCATAAGAGGCCTGTGGACTCTTTTTTTCCAACCAGGCCTCTGAACTGAACACTTGCATTGGTCGAGCTATGCAGAAGCAATTTGGAGAAGCTGGTCTTAATCCGTTCTTCCTACATGTGCACGTGGGTCTTGTTTTCTTGGGCAGCAGCCATTTTGCAAATGGCAACTTTCTCTCCCTCCATGGTAGCCATTTTGTGAGAGGCTCCTCATGAGCTCTCAAGAATCCGAACGAGGCCCAGGAGCTCCTGACTGCTCTCGTGGAAGACTCCTGGCCAGGGCTGGTCTCTCTGTCTCCTCCCTTCTTCATCTTCTCCGAAACCCTCCTGAAGGGAGACAAGACGTCTGGCTGAAGGCCTAGCAGGAGTTTTTGGCTCTCGGCAAGATCTGAACCAGACATTTCCAACACGGTGTGGTGGATGTACAAAGTAGGATTCGAATCAGCCCCACGGCAGATCCTCCTAACCCGACTCTCCATCCAAGGTCGACCGCAGGCCTCCCGAGAAGCTGACGACGGAGGGAACCTCGGTTCTCACTCACCGCGGCTCTTCTGAACGCGGATCCGGGGTGGCATTGATGGTGGTGGGAGTGTTTTGAGTGATTGCCTCTACCTTGTGAATAATGAACAGTTCAAAGAGGTCAACCCATTACAACAGAAGCTGTTTAATTATTAATTATGCACCATCTCTGAGCAAAAGGACAAGTTCAGAATGTTTAATACATGGGGAACTCCAGCCAGACCCGGTGTGGCATTTGGCTATTAGACCTCGTCAGCAAGGCGCTCAAGCAGAACAAAACAAAGCACGGAGCAGAAAAATATTTGGGTGGGGGGAGAGAGAGGAGGTTGAACTTTAAACTCCCTCCATAATATTTAATTTGTGGATGTGACAGCCCTCCAGCGATGGGTTGAGCTACGTAACCCAAGTGGACGGAAGGGGCTGGTTCTGGGCTTGGCGGGCTTCGACCCAGGAAGAGGCTTGGCCAGAGTTATTCCTCAGGCACCTTTGATCCTTTTCCTTAATGCTTTTGATCACGCAGACGTGCAGCCGATTAAACAAGGCCTCCAGATTTTAATTATTTACTTGATTATGTATGATTTACTTGATCTATACATCCGTAGAATTATCGTGTTTGGTTCTGGCTCGAAATGAACCTTCTAGGCAAGCGGCAATTTAAATCAGGAGAGCCCGGCACACACATGCACTCACACGCCACGTCCCCCAACGATAAAACAAGTAAATTAAAACATGAATAATAAAAATAATTAACTATTAAAAGCCTGAGAAAAGAGAGGTATCTTTACCGAGTCTCTAAAGGAAGAAGCAGGGTGGGAATGCAAATTAACAGAGCGGGGGCCCTTCTGATGTGGGGGGGGGGCAAGGAAGTCGATTGGTCCCCGAGGTCCAAGACCCGAAGGTTTCGTTTCAAATTCATAGCCTCAATTCTCCATTTCAAAGGAGGAGATGTCTGCGTAGGCTCAGGAATTGCAAAGCTTTTTTAAAAAGTTTAGAAATAGCCAAGTGCCATCACGTGTGCATATGAATAGTGTGATGACCCGAAGGGGCGTGGCACAAAGGCAACACAGTCAGATAATCAGTAGGAGTCCTTTTATTAGCTCCAACTTTGCCCCCCAATGTCCTGGTTACCTTCTGGGCTGGAGAAAAACTCTCCCAGGAACAGCCTTTGGCTGCAGAGAATCAAGTCCAAAACGTGGCCAACAAAAACTGGAACTTAAAGGCCAATCAAGGCAAAATGAGGTAATTCGTCTGGCAGGGTTGGAGCAAGAATTCCAGATGCGAAGGTACGGCAAAGCTCACGCAATTGGAAAGATGCCAGGAACACAGATAACCAAAGTCAACACAAGATAAACTCATGTTTGTTCCCAACACCGCACTCAGCATGTATCTCTTTTAAACTCCCTACCCAGGTGTGGCTAATGAAGGGAATCAGGGCCCTTTCCTCCCCCGTAAGTCATGCAACCCACGTTGCTCTCTTCTCCATTCCTCCCTGCGTGCCCTTGGATGAAGAGGGGGAGGGCCTGGGTCTTCCTCTGAACTCTCCCTTATTCT